ACTATATATTAAACTGAAACAGAGAGGATGGGTGGCCATTGAAGAAAAAACTGGCCCTAACAGGCTGCTCAGTGGTAAGAACGTCAGCCCATGGACTGAAGAGTCAAGGGCACATTCCTCGGTTGCAGGCTCCATCCCAGCTGGGGCATGTGTGGGAGGCAACCAATCAATGTGTCTCTCTCACACTGATGTTACTCTCTCTCTCCCCCTCCCTTCCACTCTCTCTAAAAATCAATGGAAAAATATCCTCCGGTGAGGATTGACAAAAAAAGGGGGGGGGGTGTTCATTTCAGATTAAAGTATTAAATAAAAATGTCTTAAAGTCCCTCAGGTTAGGAATTCATATTATCCACCACAGTATTCCCAAGCCTTTAAAACAGCTAGCATATAGGGGATAACAAGTGAAGGAAGAGAAATTACTTGATATTCTTGTCCATTGTATAAAGTTCCACTAAATTTATGTAACTTTCTAGTGCAAACAAATACAACCAGATTCTAAATGGGTGATTCTAAATTTTTAAAAATCCAATTTTATCAGAACCAATTTAAAGTGGCATTTTTGTCATCCTGCTGATTTTTGGTAAAACAATAACACTCTGGGAGTCAGAGCATCATTACCATAATTCCTTCCTAACAAAAGTTGAAAGCAGTAAAAAAAACTGAGAGACCAACATGTAAATTATCAGAAGGATGACGATGACAATGATGCTGGCAGCTAATGTTTTGTGCACGTTCTATGTATGTACTGTTCTAAATACTTTATGCAAAGTATTGCATCTTATCCTCACATCAACACTAAAAGTAGGTACTATTATTATTGTTTCCATTTTATAGATGAGAAAAATGAGGCACAGAGGTAGATCAAAAGGGTATCATATTTACCTGGTGAAATTATTAAAACCATAGACTTAGAAGTCGCCAGCACAATAATAAGGAACATGAGTCATCATCTCTTGGTCATAAAACCAAAGTCTGACGTCTTTGATATTATTCACTGTTCTTTAAGCTCAAGGAGAACAAGAACAGACAAGTCATTTTCCTGTGAGGTAATAACAACAGGTCCCAAAAAGAGGGGTGGTATTAGTTATCACAGAGTTATATACACCACAAATACAAGGGTTCTTTAATTTTCAAAACTGCACCTACACAAATCGGTAAGGGCAGAAACGTGTTGGTTCAAGGATCACAGAAGAAAATGATACAATTACCTTTCATCACAAGATTGGCCAAATGCTGGGAATCTGATTAAGTCAATCTACAATTAGTCTCTGAATTTTGGGTCTTATGAAGTCATGACCAACTGAACACCCACAGTCTTCTCATCGTTACTAACATGTCACTTAATTCCAACTAGTCAAAAATGAGCAATTGCTACCAATCAACTCTCGCCTCACACTCTTGCCTAAGTGCCTTCAATTCAGGATTATCTAAAACATGGCTTTGCATCATCAGCATAGCTCATATTCACTGTCTAAACTGACTTTAAAGAAAAACTCACCTAGGTGTATTTAAAAACACAGGAATCTACCTTCAAGTTAAAGGAGTAATAAATAAAAACTGCCAGGGAGTCCGGATAATGAAGGCAGAGCTGTTGCTGGGTTTCAGTTGCCCCTCCCGCACTGGGGAGGCCAGCAGTAGGGAGAGATGGCGTACTTACCTCAACAAGTATACAGGAATTGGCTTTTTTTTTCCTTTTCCTATTTTTTTTATTAAATTTATTGGGGTGACATTGTTTAATAAGAGGACATAGGTTTCAAGTGTAGATGTCTATGATACATGATCTGTATACTGCACTGTGTGCCCACCACCCAAAGTCAAATAATCTTCTGTCACCATATTTGACCCCCTTTACCTTTTACTAACCCCTATCCCCCTTCCCTCTGAACCACCATACTTCCGTCTGTGTCTGAGTTTTTGTTTGTTTTTCTTGTTTGTTCATTTGTTGCTTTCAGTTTTATACCCCACATGTGAGTGAAATCATATGGTTCTTAGCATTTTTTGTCTGACTTATTTCACTTAGCATGATGTTCTCAAGATCTACCCATCATGTTTTCTGGTGCCATTTTTATGGTGAAATGGAAAAGGCTAGAAAATGCTGTTGAGAGGGGTAACCGTGTCTGGGCTCAAATCCAGGTCCGACCTGGAGCAGTGAGATTTTGGGCAAGTTGCTCATCCTCTCAAAGCCTCAGCCCCTTCAAGTGTAAAACTGGGATGATGATATCCACCTCACAAGACAGCTATAAGGAGTGGATAACTTATCTCACCTGAAGCACTTATTAGAATACGGGGGGGAGGGGAGGGGGCATAGGGAGTGCTTGTATAATGTTATTATGTCGTCATCAATACTACCAAACCATGTTTCAGAGGGAAGGATAAAATAACAGAAAGTTGACGTTTACTACAACTAGATTGTTTCAATAAATGTCAGTAATACTCATCAGAGATTTCCAACCCTGACATCTGTACACCCCATACCACTGATAGCTTTTACTTGCTCCTAAAGGAAGCAAATGTTTTTAAGTTATTTACAGCTTAATTTCTTCAGTGTTAAAAAGCATTTGCCCTTGGTGTTAGTACTCTCATTAATTATGTCTTGGTTATTTACTATTCTTTTTCTTTTAAATATATTTTACTGATTTTTTACAGAGAGGAAGGGATATAGAGTCAGAAACATCAATGAGAGAGAAACATCCATCAGCTGCCTCCTGCACACCCCCCAATAGGGATGTGCCCGCAACCAAGGTACCTGCCCTTGACCAGAATCGAACCTGGGACCTTTCAGTCCGCAGGCCGACACTCTATCCCAGGGGTGGGCAAACTTTTTGACTCGAGGGCCACAATGGGTTCTTCAACTGGACCGGAGGGCCGGAATAAAAGCATGGATGGAGTGTTTGTGTGAACTAATATAAATTCACAGTAAACATCATTACATAAAAGGGTACGGTCTTTTTTTTCAATAGTTTTATTCATTTCAAATGGGCCGGATCCAGCCCGCGGGCCGTAGTTTGCCCACGGCTGCTCTATCCACTGAGCCAAACCGGTTAGGACTATTTATTTTTCTTATATATTTGGTGTATGTTCTTTTAAGCCCTAGAAGGATGTTTACAATTCCCTGCTGAAAATCCCTTGGATGGTTAAGTGTCACAAGTTAGAACCTGTGAATCATCCTGAATGTATCCACCTGTATCTTTTTTTTTTTAATCCATCCCTGATATCCCCATTCCTTCAGTCTTTGAGTCAGTGCAAGCACTTGTGACCTCAGGTTACGTAACTGTCTCCTTACTGACTGCCCGGCCCATCACTCAACCTAATCCACCCTTCCCGTTTTCAAACAGGCACAGATAAGATTGTATCCTTGAGGGGATGAGTGGAGTTGGAAGGTAAGGTGTTTGGCCACGTCATTTTGCTGCTGGAAAACTGGCCACCAAGCTACAGATTAAAACAGACTTTATTAAAGATAAATTTTTTAAAAAAATAAAATGAGACTTTTAAAAGATATCACAATGTATGGACCTTATTCAGCTCTTACTCAAATAAATAAACCATTGAAAAAAAATTTCTGCGACAAAGAAATTTGAGTATTTTCATGAGATAAAGAATTATTTTTTAAGCTTGATAATAATATTGTGGTCAAGTTTTTTTAAAGTCTTTATAAAGATGCATATCAAAATAAACATGGATGAACTGCTATGTCTGGATTTACTTCAAAATAATCCAGTTATGGGCCGAGGGAGTAAAAGATGAAACATAATTGGCTATCAATTGACAACGCTGGATGCTGAGTACATGGGGGTCTGTTTTGCCATTGTCTCCAGTATTGGGAACATCTGTAATTTTCCATAATAAAATGTTGTAAGAGGGGGAAAATACTCATTTTCAGTTGCCAAAAGAATCAAGACACCTCCCCCTTTTATTAATTCCACATCCACAAGCAAGTATGACTAGCCTGCCTCTTCTCTGGACTCAGATCCTGACCCACACTGAGTGCCAGTCATACCAACCCTGCCACAGTGTTGAAAACAGCAGCCAGGCCCTTCCCTTCTCTGTGGCACTGTACAGACTGCTTCTTCTGCCCAGAAAGTCTCTCTAGAGCAGGGGCCACACTCTCAAGGCCAGTTCAAAGGGCCGCCTCTCTGAGACGCTCCCCATTCCCCAAGCCTTCCCCTGCACTTCCTCAGCCCTTCGTACAGGCCTATATCCTCAGTCTTCTTGGTTAGTTTTTGTTGTTGATTCCCTTTTATTCTGCTTCTACTTCCCTCAAGAGATTATGGCTTCCTTAATGGCAGAAGCTGTGTTTTATTTACTTCAATAAATACTCCTAAAATAGGCATGGAAAGTAATTATTTATTAACTGCTTTGGAAAACAGGAAGGAAAGTCAACAGAACCACCACCAGTCATGGCAAACAGTATTAACAAAATAAGATGTCTGGTAAGTCACAGTTTACATACACTAACATAATATTTACCCACTGTATGTTTATCACATTCTTTAAAAAATGAGTTGTGATTATTTTCAAAAAAATATGTTACACATCTTGAAAAAAAATCAATATGATTTAAAGAAGAAATTCTGCCTAAAGAGATGTGGGCAAGTTATTTTTCTGCTTCTGAATTATTATAAGCGAAAATATATTTATGCTATCTTTACATCTCATCTGGTGTAGTTGTGGGAATATATATTTTGTTCTGTTAAAAAGACTACACTACTTCTTATTTCATAATAATAAAAATGTCAAAATACTGCATAATGTGAAAGAATATTCCTGAATCACACGTGAGAGGTACAGCTGCAGATGTGAAGTTATCAGCGAAGAACTATAAACATTTGCTTTGTCAGAAATAGCTGAAATATTTCACATTTCTAAACTATGAAAAATAAGTTAATGCAAAAATAAGGTAATGTTGACACAACAAGCTGGTACTACTACTTCTTTGATTCTTTAAGGAAAGTCTTTAGTTACTGATTTATACATTATACAAAGGGAAAGGAAACACCTACTAGTATAAAACTTCATTTGCTTCGTGTCTTTCATATCTCACAGTTTCACACATTAACCTGCAAAAGAAAGAAAGACATGAGCTCAACATCTGTCATGAAAGAAACACACCAATAGTTTAAAAGCACAAATGAGCCATGTAGCCCAGAAAGGTAAGATTACTTATAGCTTGTTACAGTCACTTACTAGCCTCAAGATGAATATGTTTGGTTGCCGAGCTTAACAAAATAAAATAAAATAAAATCTGGTAAATAGATGCTAGGGAAAAAAAACCATTTTGTTAAATGTCAACTTTGTCACATTTATTTTATAGGGAACAAACTTATATGTGTGTTTTTTATACTTTGCACATGACATTTAGGCAGATTCATGTTCTCCAAAGTAAACCGAAAATGAGAAGGAACCTTAGAAAGGAAAACCTAGTAATTTTAAAAGTGGTGATTTCATTCACAGCTCAACATTAATGTTACTTTAACAGTATGGCATTTCAGACAAAAGTAGGCTTTTATTAACTCAGTATTTTTATGACTAATGACTAAATGGAGGCTTTACAACTTCTGAAGAACTGTTGTTTCAGCTGATTCATCCCTGAGGAAAAAAATTATGTAAATTATGGAAAACATGAATAAATGTTTAAATGTTCAAAAGAAGCTCAAGAGCAGCATCTTCAAAAAGCATCCTATTATATTAAGACCAAGTAAAAGTTCCCAAAAATAGAGAAACGCAAAGGAGAATAGAGTGATGTTGTCATGTCTTCTTGTGGAGGATCTAGTACATAGAAAAGTTGTCTACAAAAGTGACTATTTCAACACCTCCTCTGGTCAATGAGGCTACGAGTCTCCAGTCCATGCAACACTGGGCTCCACCGTCACCCATCTTCCTTCCTCCATTTGCTAAATCCAATAAACACTACCTGCTCTTGATTTTCCCCTTGAAAACAACTCTCCTGAGTACTGTTTTTCCTTGTTCTTCCTGCTACCACCACCCTATTTTAGAGATCCTTCTTATCCTCTCAATCCCGTACTCCAAACATTCAAACTGAATGGCACAACTCCAGGGGGCAGCATCGAGCCTTGAACACACACCATTGAACATACAGTTTTCTTTCATGGACAGAACTACATGAACTCCTCATAGGAAAGGATGACAGTCACCAGCGATGGGTCTAAAAATAGCTGGTCCTAAATCAAGCTATTTTGTTGGAATGAAAAGGGCCCTTGCCCCAACCTCTACACTGGACCTCATCCCTTCTCCTACATAAGACCCTGCCTTCCTGAAAGCTCACCTCCTTCTCCTCCATCACCATCTATTTCTCCCCCTCTCCTCAATCACCTCCTTTCACACAGAAACACATTTTAGCATCATCTACTGTGTATGGGAGGGGGACACCGTCCTTTACCCCCACATCCCACTCCAGCTATTAACCACATTTTGGTTTCCCCGGGACAGAAATTCTCCTTTTACAGTTGTCTATACACTATCTCCCTTTTCTCACCCTCTTCCCGCTCCCCCACCTTTTGGTTCCTGAAACTCCAAAGAAAAGGCTCTAAAACATTATCAGTGTCCTCTGTGCTATCGAAATCCTTTCTGTCCTTATCTTCATTCCACTTCTCGGCAGCACCGATGACTCCTTTTTCCTTACAGCAGTATCTTCTCAGTATCTTCTCCAGGCTTCCTGTCCTCAGTCTCCAGGTTTTTCTTATAATCCATTAGTCACTTTTTCTGTCTCCTTTGGATGTGCCCCACACTCCATCCCTCTACCCGACTTCTAAAGGTTACCTATCTATCACCTTTCTAAGGGCCCTTCAGCCCTCCTCTCCTCTGTACCACGTAATCTCATCCAGTCTGTGATTTCAAACTTAATATATAAACTGATGACTTTCACAGCAATGCCCCAGACCTAATCTCTCACCATGGTAGGCACTCAGCTGTGTCATGACCATTTCATGTTCAAAATGTCCAAAACAGATGTTGAACTTCTACCCTTAGAATCTGCTTTCTCACAATCAGTACCCAATTGTTTAGTCCCAAAATCTGAAGCCCTCATCCTTGAATCCTCTGTCTTCTTCACATCCCATCTCTCTGCCAGCATGTGTTTCCAAAATACACCCTCCCACACTGACCAAGTTCACCATCTCCCCTATGAAAACCTAGGATGGGCCACAATTATCCCACTAGTATCTATTCCCAGGACTACAATTGAAGATTTTTTTTGCTTCTACTTTTGCAACCTCTGGTCCATTCTCCACATAACTTCCAGACAGATCTTTGCAGATGTTAAGTCAGATCTCCTCATACCTCTGCTCTTATTCCACCACTTTTAGGACAAAATACAAACTGCTAAATCTTGAATACAAGGGCCTATACTTACTACTGTACTATAATCACTGAGTCGATCTTACTTTGCCATCGCATTTGTCTTCTGTACCTGAAACCTGTTCCCATGGCAGAGCATCTGAGACCCATCTACACCGCAGAGACCTCTGCCCATCTGCCTGGCTCAAATATTACCACCTCCTTTGTGATTACACAGCACCCGTTCTTACCAGGCCCAGCACATCTGAATAAAGCAACATTGACCCATTCCCTACATCTTGTCTGCCCCACTAGGAATGTAAGCTCTACAAAAGCAGCAGTTTGGCCTACTACATGGCCTACATCAGTGTCTAACGCACAGTAGGCACACAATGAGTAACTGTTGACTGGATAAGTAATTTAACTGGTGCCATTAAAAAAAAAAAAGATAAAATCTTCTATATGACAATGTTCTACTAAATGAAAGAAATGCCAAAAGTTGTTTTATCTTTAAACATTGTTAGGGAATGATTTACCAAAAGCATGTTGATCTTTACTAAATTCCTAAAGAATATACTAACCCTAGTTTAGTTGTTTTGTGATGATCCTGAAGTTCCCATGTAGTATGAATTACACTCCCCCGTAATGCTGGGGAGTATCGGCATAGGTCAGCAGGCTCCTGCTCCCAACACTGACTGGCCCCAGACACTTACTCTGCTTTTTAGAAATTCTGGTCTCCACTGCTAACTATAGTATCCTCTTCCCCTTTGGCCAACATGTTGCTTCTAATCCACATGGGTTAAGAGAGTAAATATTTAAAAAATAATGTTGTGTTTAAAAATATATAATTTTTAAGTGAATATCTGAAAACCTTCTCATTGCATAGTGTGTGATCGTATAGAAACACAGTCAATCAACTGCCCCGAATCTATTGCTGACATGAGAATGGGCCACAATAGAGCACAAAGCTGAGGCTTCCCAATAAAAGCCTGTGTCGTGTCCCCCAGCTGAAGTCTAACATTGTTCTACTGCCTGTTACTGAATAAACAGACTGGAAATCTTGATTAAGAGCTGCTTTCCCCCCTCTAAAATTGGAAAACTGTATTATGTAGAAGTCTTAACTGTTCTCTATTTAATCCTAGGGTAAAACTTTTATTTAAAAAACTCAAAGGAACTTATCTAAATACAATGTATTTTTCCCAGAAATGGTTATTATTATAAAGCAGTTTATCCAAATTACTGCATTTATGTGAACCTCATTTCTTAATTTTTCATTTGGGTATTCTGCTCTTGCTCTAAAAACGGACTTAAGATAGTTTCCGCTGATGTTTTCCACAAATAAGAGAAACACAAATGACTTTTTAACATAAGCAAAAGAAGATAAACATCTTAGAGGCTCCTCCTCCCTGTAGATTCATGCCAACAAACAAAACTGTATAGTCTCCAAAACAGACTTTCTAAGGTATAAATAGACTAAACAATACCCTTGAGTTCATCAGTTATTTCTAATCAAAATTTACCTTTGAAATAGCAGGAAATTGATAGTTCTAAAGCTGGTTAATAAGTAGATGGAACTTCACTGTGTTATTATGTCTACTTTTGTAATTTTGAACATTCCCGTATTAACATTTTTCTTTTTCTATTGCATAGAATTTCTAGTATCTAAATAATTCCATAACTACATATACTGTACACACAGTATAATCATTACATCTAGTTATCCGTGTGTGCTTTTATACGCACAAGAACAAATATTTATATTTCCATATTAATTCATTCATCTGCATATGAAGATTAACTGCCTTTGATTAAATTGACGGTTGGTGCTAACTTTATTTCTTAGAATAGTTGGTATCAAAAAATATGTAATGAAAGTTACACACTTTAAAAATTATTCTTGCTTTAATTTGAGCCATCTTCTAAATTCCCGGTGGTTTTGCCCTTTCTAATAAAACTTGACTGGATTTTTAAACACTTAACCTGCAATCTACTTTAATTTAAACGATTTTCATTAAAATTTTAATTTTAGAAGTAGTCAATCCTCTTGACACATTTTTCAATTAACAACTAAATATGAAATTTACATGCTCACAAATTAATTAGTGTTTAAAGATTAAAGGGGAACTATATAGAAAAAGTACTCCTTCCATAATTAAAAACTGCTGGTTTCACATCCAGCTAGAGGAAACAAAACCTTCCCACCATGTGTGTAATCCATCTTCTCAAGGTCCTTTATTTTCTATTCTGATTACGGGGAAAGAAAAGGAACTCACTGAATTATATAAGATGTTTTAATCTTTTAATATGAAGCCAGATAACCATCGATAAGGTAATAGCGGTGCAATAGAAGTGATAAAATATTTATGAGTGGGCCACATAAAAATAACTATGGTATAAACTCTGTTTCCCAGAAAGGGGTATGTCAATTTAATGCAATAAATATAGTACAAAGACCTAAAACATACGAAAATAACAAACCTAACCATTCTCTGAATAGTTAAAAACATTCTCGTTTCTTATGTTTCTGAGCACTGAGATGTAGGTTTTTATTTGCCGGGATGGCAAATAAACATCTTAAAGGCTCCTCCTCCCTGTAAACTCATGCCAACGAACTCCTTTTGGTATATACCCCAAGTAGTGTCTATCACTTCAGGTGAGGGGCTGCAGGAAGAGGGGGGAAGGGGGAGAGGGTATCACTACGGCACAAATGTAAAAGAATTCTTCTGTGCCTGACACTGGGTTCAATTTATAAAATGGATAAAGCCAAGTACAGGGGCTCAAAGAGGCAGGGTTTTCGTAAGTAAGTTATCTTTACTTCTAATTCTTAACTTGTATAAACAATCACACAAAATTCTAGCATCCTATTGTAGTTAATGCTAAAATAACTTACCTAAGTTGGTGTTCCCTCAGGTTTGATAAGGCTTCCATACCATGTAAATAGGAATACACTATTTCCAGATCCTATTTGGAAGAAAAAAAGGATAGAAATCATTAGACTTGCCAGGGAAAAAGGCTTCCAAACTAAGTCACTATATTTATAGACCAAATTAAAGACAGGTTTAAAAAAAAATACAAGTTTTCTCAGACATTAAAAATAAGCATTATTAAAAGAAAAGCTGTACAAATGCCATCCATTACAACTGCCTTTGGAATATATACAAAAGTGTGTGTGTGTGTGTGTGTGTGTTTTAATTGATTTCAGAGAGGAAGGGAGAGGGACAGAGTGATAGAAACATCAATGTGAGAGAGACACATCGATTAGTTGCCTCCTGCAAGCCCCCAACAAGGGCCAGGGATAGAGCCTGCAACCAAGGTGCATCCCTTGACCGAGAATAGGACCTGAGATCCTTCAGAACTTGGGCCAGCACTCTAACCACTAAACCACATGGGCCAGGGCATTAAGTCTGTTATTTCTCAACATTATGGAGTTTCGTAGTTGTATATGAGTTACCCTTCTATATAAGTCACAACTGTTAACGTGTCAGTATTATATGCATGAACTTAGTTTGAATGTATAATTTGTGTAATTAGATAGATTACTAGAGGCCCAATGCATGAAAATTCATGCACTGGAGTGGGGGGGAGGGCGTCTCTCAGCCTAGCCTGCCCCCTCTCACAGTCCGGGAGCCCGCAGGGGTGGGAGGTGACCCCGCGATCAGGGGAAGGCAACGCCCCATCACACCTCTGCTGCAGCCACTGCCAGCAGCACAAGCCTCGGCCGGCCCTGGTTCCCTTCACCTTAGGCGGCCATCGGCGGCTGGGCAGCTGACATCCAAGGCTTGCCTGCACCTTGGGCCAGCCCTGGGCAGCTGGGGGGCTGAGGGGACTGGGGGTCTCCAGAGGTAGGCATGTGGAGCGGCCATGTGCCTATCACCCTGGCAGGGCTGAGGGGACTGGGTAACTCCATCTTGTGACTGTGGGCACTGCCATCTTTGAGGGCATGGCAGTCAATTAGCATATTCCCTCCTTATTTGCTGTGGGTGTGGCCATCTTTTCCCTGGCATGAGGGTCAATTAGCATATTCCCTCTTTATTAGATAGGATATCTGTGAATAATAACTACCACCATTATACCTTTATCTTAAAACAATATGTATAATTATAACTTGGAAATGCAATAAGATTGTTTCTTAGTTAATAAGAATGTGGAGAATAATGGTGTCTTGCCACCTATAAATAACTGACATAAGGTCAAGAAGCCTATATTATAAAACTAAGACTGTGAAGGAAAGACACTGCATCATACCATTACTGAATGGCCAAATTTAAAAAGTAGCTTTTCCATCTATATGTATATAGCCGTATAAATTAAAACAGTCACATCATAATCATGATGTTTGGGGAGTAGGGGTGGATGGGTTTAAATATGGCCACTCAAGCAATATACAACTAGGGAATTCCTGGCCACTGTTTCATGTGAGGATTTTAGATGTTTAACTAGACATAAACTTGTTACATGAATTGAACAATTATATCCAAAGTTTACACTTAGAGAAATTTGTTTTAAATGGTCTATGCCACCAAGAGCTTATAAACCAGGGGAGCAGTCGTTATTCTACAGGAATCTGTTGCACGGAAGGCAATATTATCTAGCTCGAATGAGATGACTTGACAGATAGATTCTATCTAAACTTGCGATCTCTTAACTGTAACTAACAGAGGGATGGTGAGAGACTGGTGTCTAGATGGCAGAGAACAGCACATAAATGTCATGCGTCACTGTGCAACATGAACGTGACCGCCACAGATTTGGGGTAAGTAGGAAAAGCAGAGACGCTATGGAAAAGGCATCAGGAAATCTCTGCTCTCAGACTCGGAGGAACGAAAGAAATCTGACTAGAGACAAACAAATGAAATGCAAACTACAGGAAGGAGGAATGTGTGGCTACGTTTTTCGTCCTACTAAAGAGCCCAGTAGCCAAGCACTAGGCTTACAAGGATTAGGGATGAGAAGGAAGGTAAAGAGCAATGGAAGGCAAAAAGGAAGACAAGCTTGCTTCTCCTTCCCCAGGGCCAAGGCGAACTGGGCAACTTCTTGAAATAGGCAAATACAGCCTTTTGGACCTTCTGATCGGTTTTCCTTCCCTCTCCCAGGGTGCCCAGCAGCCTCCCGTCACCACAAGCCTCATTCTGGGGCATCGTGCCCTGGTCTACCAATTACAAGACGACAATCTGAACACAAATGTGGATGAGAGTGATCAGGGGGGGCCCTTGAATCTTCCATAAAGGAACTATCCACCAGTGTTTGCATTTCCATAGTCCAAATGAAAGACAGAAACAGAGGGCTAGGTAGGCAGTCAGGGACAAGGACCACGTGGAGGCAGGGGAAAGAGAAGTCAGACATGGAGGCAAACAAAAAATCTAGAACTAATGGGCAGGAACCTGGCTTGGGGGCAGGGGGAAGGGAGGGGCAGGACTTGACACTTGACCCGGCTAGGTGGGAACAGTGATGTTACCTTGGACCTAAAGTGGCAGTCCTCAATCGGGTCCTCCCATAGGCGGGAACCTGAACTTCAATGTAATTGGATATTGCCAGAATTCCTTTAAGGAACCAGTCAGAAGCTACCAGAGTATATGAATATTCCCTAGACAAAGAGTTTAAGTGGTAACCTATTTGGGGCCCTATGTCCCCCATAAGTTTGTTTTTCCCCCCAATAAATTTTGTTTTCTTCCCACCATTTCTTCCCACCATGAATCCATTCTTTGGTTTTACAAGACAAAGAGCTCGGACCCGACCACATTTCGGGTTTCACAAACAAATCTCTAAGTGGTATGAGATCGAAGGCAGCACAACCAAGATCAGCCGTGTATGGGGAGAGATTTGAGGGCATGAGAGCCCTGCAAAGCGGGGAACCACCACCACCCCTCCTTTCACACAGATGCCCCAACCCTCATCCCCCCTAACGGTTGGCTTTTATTAAAATAATCCACACGCTGGTACAGAATCGCCGTTCCCCAGCCAGGAAACACGCAGGCCAGAGCGTGAGGCGCGGAGGAAGTCTTCTCTTCAGAGTCACCTGAAATTGGTAATCTTCGATGAAAACTAGGTAAGACAGAAGAGTTTTCTCTCTTTAGCCGAACAAAGAAATGCATGGCCTTCAGGAAGTTATATTCTTGGATCCTATTTTTTTCCTCTACACCAACAAGAGACATTCACAGAGTGAAGTTATGTTTCCCCTATCTTGGCTGCAGAGAAAGAGAAGCCCACTGCAGAGCTAAATCACCTCACGTGTCCCAACTTCCACTTCTGTCAGGAAACTATGCTCTGCAAACTGAGAACTCTCCAGCCTCCCCACCCGCACCTCCCAGGACAAATGGAGCTCACGTGACTATTACAATTTTAAAAAACGTGAGCTATGTTTCCCCAAATAAGCCTCTAGCCCTCGGGACAAACAGGAACACGTTCCTCTCCTCAGGAAGTCGTGTTTTTTTAAGAACAATAAGCCTTTCCTTCTCGCCTAGGAAGGACATCCTTTTTTTTTCAAAAACAGATGCTACTTGACAGCAGATTAAAGTTATCAGAAACAATGGAGCCCAGTAGACAAAGATATTGGCAGGCCAAAAGAAATGCAGTTTTCCATGAAAAAAAAAAAAAGACAATTTTTGGCCCCACATGTAAACCATGGATGAAAATCCAAAAGCACCCCCTGTGTTGGTTAGGGGCGTGATTGTTCACAGCCTCATTAAGCCTCCTGCTCAGGTCTGTGAACGCCACACGCATATCCAAGTCGGGGGAATGTTCTCTGCATCGTGAGCTCTTCCTCCCACGTCTAATGTCTCCTCAGAGACTCATTCAGAAGGTAGCAGGCCTCAGACCAAACTTGTAATTCACTTACAACGAGCTTTTAATTTCACTTGTTCATCAGCATCGGGGATTCGCTCACCACAGCACAGTGTATTCTGCTGGTTGGAGAGCAGAGAGGAGCCAAGTGTCCCCCACCTCCTTCCCCACAACTGGAGCCGGCACACCCCACCCTCTCTCGGCACTGTACTTGGAGAAAAAATATACCTCGCTTTTCCTTTGAAATGAGTCTGTTTTAGAAATGAAGCGCTGTGCTTACACTGTAATCAGAAGTTAAGTGGACAAAAGGTACAGTGTTCCCGTTACAAGATACATTAAAAACAAAAAAAAAGATTCATTCGTTTAAAAAGATTGTATTTCAATCATCAAAGAGAGTCAGGCCAAGACTGTGGTACAATTAGCAGGCGGAAGGAGACTTCAGTGGTAGGTGCCTTTGGGCTTAAACATGAGGAGGAGAAAGATTTTTCTTAAGTAACAGCAGTCTCGGGACCAGGAACGGTACTGATGCCAACTTATGCTCTCTTGCAAAGGCAAAAAAGTACACTCATGTATTCCCCTTGACCAAATATTACTAGCAAGCAACCAAGAGAGTTACGTCTTGAACATTATGCAAAACGAGGTAAAAAGCTAGGCCAAGACTCAAACTCCTGTCTGCAGCCAATCGGGGGAGGAGGCAGGAGTCCAAGTTATGTTGTAACCAAGGAGGTTAAGTTTTATTTGGGAGATCCGCATTTTTCTACACTAAAACATCTAAAACAACTATCCTAGGAAGGTTAATGGGAAGACTATGCGCTTTGGTGTCAAACGGAGCACAGCTTCCATCCTCATCCCCATCCCTGCGGAGAGGTGTGACCGTGGCTGCGTTACCGAGACTATACTTGCCCATAATGTACTCAGCTAAGCTGTGTGGCTAAAATGATAGACAGTTTCATAACAACAGATGGCATATACAGACCCTCGAAAAATGCTAGTTGATCTTATTACTATCTACGAGATATTAATACAAGCACAGAGTAATACCAAGACTATAGACTTAAAACATTCCTGAAATGTATATACATCAGAATCTTTATAAATTAATCCACCCTTTTCAGATGTGACTATCTCTACCCAAAGAAGTTAAATGAATTATCTATATAAAACATATAACGAGCCCCTAG